CTCCTCCTCCTCCTCCTCCCCTTCCTCCTCCTCCACCACCACCATCACCACTACCTCCTCCTCCTTCACCACCACCACCACCTCCACCGCCAAAAGAGTGTGAAACTTTTTTTCAAATTGTGCGCTGTTTTTCCCTAGTGCATTTTGAATGGGTATAATCCATTGGGTTTTTTCAGTTTCATTTCATACTACATTTCTGTTTGGAGATGAATTCATGACATATAAATTGTATACATAATAAATAGATTTTATTTTTTTTTAAAAGAAGGGCAATTGCAATTTGCTCCCATCTGCTCTTATTTTCATAACCCACACTCTGTCTTTTGGGATTGCATGGCCTCAAATATTTTGAAATAAAGGTAATAATATTTTTTCCTATACCTTGACCACATTTACAATGAAGTTTTTTTCTTTGTATGAATTATATTTTGGATGTTAAAATCGACCTTTATATTGGGAATATGGAAAGCCGTGAAACAAGGTACTTTTTAAAAGAAATTAAATTAGCAGATTCCTTCTTTTATCTAGTAATATTATTGTCCATGCTCAGAAAAGAATGTTTCCTAAGCTATCTGTTACAATCCATTCAGCCCAAGCTGAAATAATAGTCATTATCTCTTCTGTAACCTGTCCTGCACCAAGGCTGTAAACAGAATGGAGAATAGGAAATAAAGAAATAATAATTTAAACCCAAAGTAGTTACTGCTAGTAGTAATAATGCAACATTTCACAATAATTATGTCAATATTTAAACTGGCAGTGAGGAATCTTCAAGCAATGTAGTTTTTTTTCTAATTTTAATATTTGTTAACAATTAGAAACTCAATCTGCAAAGTTTTAGCAAATTTTCTAGTGTTGAATAGCTACTATCAATTGAACGTTAAAGGATTAGAAATACAGTGCTAATTTCTTTTGTACTATTTTAATAGCTTCATGATTTCAACTTCCAAACAGAAATTGAAATATTAAAAGCTTGGAGTATTTGGTACTGTGCTAATTCTTTTAAAAGTCATATGATAAGGAAATAATTATGAGGTACCACACTTTGTATCATAGATAGTCATACAGTTTAGGAAATATTGATAACTGAAATAACTCTGTGTTTTGATATACATACCTATCTACCTACTTACCTATCTATTTTTCATGAAGGAGATTATGGATATAACCATCTATGTACATAGTTGAATTATGTTCAACTATGTGATGAGGAAATGCAAGAAATATAATACTTTGTTAAATTTTAAAGACTTTTTTCACAGGATAATTCTTCATTTATAGAAGAGTATATAACCTGAATCAAAATGTAACCTGAACTTGATAGGTAGTCAGTATTGCTGATCACTTTTCCAAGCACTGAGACTTTAGAATACCATTGTTGCTTAAACTTCATGAAACCCTAATAATTATAAGTTATAATACTTTTTTTAAAAAAAACTTTGTTTTGTGAAAATGTCTTTCTGCCTCGGGTCTCCAGAGCTTTGACTTTCCCTTACAACGGTGAAAAAAAAATGTCCAACTCACTCTGGAAATTATTAAACATGTTTGAAATCATGAAAGATTACGTCTTTAAGAACTTGTAAGGTGATACTGCATATCAAAGGAAGGGAAAAAAATTTCCAGGAAACATTCCTAACAAGATCTATTGTAAATTATTACAAGTTTCTGACAAGAGAAAAATAGTGTATCAAAATGCTGCTATAGGCCTATGGTATCATAAATCTTCAAATAGATTTTTGTCGCCTTGATCTAAACCAGTTTGTACTTGACTGAAATATAGTTGATGGAATTTCATTGCTATTAAATGGGATGAAAAAGCTGCAGGAACAGACAAAGTTGGCTCACCATTAAGCAAGAAACAGCGACTTCAGCAAACAGATTTTGGTGTCACGAAAAGGCAACAGATTGTTTGATACTTAATTTGTTATTGTTGTATTTTCCTTTGGCGTGCTTTTTCTGAGGATGTTAGTCTTCTATGCCAAAATAACTGTCCTCTTCCAGCTCAGGGTGCAAAATATCCTGGCCTGTAAAGAAGAAAAAAAGAATTAAATTCTGGTTGGCAACTTTTGAGAGTTGTCCTGCTTGTATCCTATAATGTAGTTCTGCACAGTATTACTGAAGGCATTTCAATTTTTACAAATGAATAATTAATAAGATGATAATAGAAAACATTTACTATCAGTATATACTTTAGCACAGCAGTAAAATCCACTATGCACATGCATAGTATTGAATTAAGTGAATATTTTGTGTATATGTTAATTATTGGATTGATAGACTACAGCACCTGTTCTGTTTAGAAAGTGTTATATTCCATAAATTTTTTTAAAAAATGCTTACAAACATGTGAGATGGGGAGTTTTTTAAGCCTACTATCTAAATCCTTGACATTTAGATAATGAGATCTGCAAATTGTATCTGTTTGTCTGTCAAAAGATATCCTTCATGAATTTTGATAAAAATCTTATTGTCTTTTAATAGCTTTTTCTGGAACATATATTTGACCAAATTTCTTGGCTTGTATGTTACAGTTCTTTATTTGTAATTCAGATTTTCATAGATATCTTAAGCATGAAAGATAAGTAGAATGATCTGTTAGTCAATTCTTCCACTATTGGAATAATTGGGAATTAATAAAACATTGTATTTTAATTACCACTTGTTGAAAAGAACAAAGCTTGATGGTCTTTAAGAAATAATAATACTGATAATTAGTGTGTGTTTATCCATGTAAAATATTCTTGTTGCCTTGTCCAATCTGAAAAGCCATTTCTTATGATTCCCTAGAGTGATGATGTTCCAATTTGTTAGTATTGAAGTGCATATTTTCTAACTTTTGTATATGCAAATTTATTGCCTGCTAATTAGTTATTGCTCCAGCAGTTTGTGTTGCTAGTAGTTGTGCTTACATTTGATTCATTAACTGTATAAACAAGGAATATATTTTGAATAAAGCCTACAAATTCTGACAAGATCATCATATAACCCACATAAAGAAAAAGGCAGGAAGGCAGGAAGGGAGGGAGGAGGGAGGAAGAGAGGGAGGGAGGGAGGGAGAAAGATGGGAGGAAAGGAAGAGTAGGGGAAAGGAAAGGAGAAACAGATAAAGTGAAATCAAGATTACACAAATTCTTTTTTCAAACTGAAATTATTTCCTGCTGAATAAATTTGTAATTTGTGATTGCTTCTTAATGTCATCAGCTAAACTCTGCTGAGAAAGTTTATTGGGAAATACCCAATAAATAGCCAATACAGTGAATGACTACATTGATTAGGAATATTTTTAAGTAGAAATCCAGGAAATGTTTAATGTTCTAATACAGAGTATAAAACCCGATCACATCATAGGCATATTGGGGCATATTGGGACATATACAATGTATTGGGATGTTTTTTGGCTTTGCGGAGTCTGGGTAGACGTGGCCTGCGTGAGGCTTGGAGTTGTCTGGGTGAGCCATATCTGGCCCACAGGGTCCCAGTTTGACAGGCCTACTGTGTTATTTTAATTGTTTTTATTTTGTAAATTTTGCTCACTGCAGAGTCAGTTGATGAGATTGTCCACTGCACAAATAAATAAATATGAGCCAATTTGTTAACCACAGTTAACTTAAATGTATAAAAACATAAAAACAGTTGTAGCTACTGATAGAAAATAATACAATTACAGTAGAAACTCTGGTCATGACCATAATTTGTTCTATAACTCTGGTCGGAACCCGATTTGTTTGTGGTCAGGAGCGTTCATGACGAGAGGTTTTACTTTACTTACTTTCTCCTGGGCAACTGACTCAAGAGAAAAAATCTCTTTCAGTAAGTTAAATAATCATGCTTTTGCCACTGTTTTGCCGTGAATGAACAAAATGAATTAAAAATGAGCTATTTAAAATGAACAAAATTTGAAACAAGATTTAACTGTGATATTAATAGATCAGTTTAATGGACTGCCGTGGTGAACTAGAGGGGAAGATTCTTGTCTCCCACTTGGAAGGTTGAGAGTTCAATCCTAGGCATTGACAGTTTTTTTTTTCTCAGGGTACCAAGAGAAAATATCTGGTACAAACTCCATGTTGGCATCAGGAAGGGCATCTGACCAGTAAACCCTCAGCTTCACTCAGTTGTCTCGACCTCACTCCAAATAAAGGGATTTAAGGGTCGTAAAAAGAAAAAAAAACCAAGAGATTAGTTTACTATTTATGACTTGGCCTTGATACTATAGTCTGCTTTCCTGTCACATTTGTTCTTTTATATACAATAATCTGTCATAACTGGGAAATAATTTCTTATCTAAAGCTGTTGCTTTATAAACAGCACTTTTTCATAGAATCATGGCTTCTATGATTCATAGAAACATAGAATTATAGCACTGTAAAGAGCTTTTTAAGCACCGAGCCCCATTCATTGCTCCTTGCAGGAATCCAATTCCTCACGTTTAAAGTTGTCTGTCCAGCCTCTGCTTGAGCATACGTTAAAAAGAAGAGCCCAAAACTGTTCCAAAGTCTTTTATTAGAAGGATCCTCTCTTTTTTTTTTTGCATCATTATTATCTTTACAAGTCAACCTTTCGGTTTTTGAAATATGTTTCTCATACTGATTCTTTGCAGATACCTCAAATCAGCTATGCATCTACAGCTCCAGAACTGAGTGATAACACCAGGTATGATTTTTTCTCTCGCGTGGTCCCACCAGACTCCTATCAAGCCCAAGCTATGGTTGACATTGTGACAGCGCTTGGATGGAACTATGTGTCAACACTGGCATCAGAAGGGAACTATGGGGAAAGCGGTGTAGAAGCTTTCACTCAAATCTCTAGGGAAATTGGTAAGTAAATCTGATTTAAAAATTATATTATGGGTGTGAATTTTAAGTCCTGGGCATGGCCTGCATGATTCATATAAAACAAATGATATATTTTATGAGAACAAAGTGACATACTTGATGTGACAGCCCTCTCTCCTCCTTCCCTCCAGAAACAAATGCTTCTTTTTAATCGCTGCTTCTTACAATGCTCAATGTAGAATGGAATCTTTGTAAGAAAAAGAAAAAGGAAAGTTGGCAGCTTAGGAACATAAACATTGAATTGTGGACGCATGGAGTTCTGTTAAGTAGATGGAGATCCTACTAATATATTGCATAAATGATCTCACTGAGGTCATTTCCACCTAGAATTTGAAATTCAGTACTTAAATAAAGTTATCACTCAGAGAAAACTCTGTCAACTTGTTCCCCCCCTTTTAAAACCTTTCTGACAATCTGCCTGTTGATACTTCTGTATTGACGAACTGGTTGGAAATCCACTTTGGAATAATGTGAAAGTTTTCTTTGAGGCAATTAGACAAAGTATCATCATATGTAAGAAATTTTTGGTTTGAAGCACTGGTGTTGGTCATTTTTATGGCAGCCCCTAAAGATCATTTTTTTCTTCTCATTTGACTGACTCTTGATATACCCTAATTATTATTTTTAGGATAAAATATTTTTGATAAGTCAAAGGTTATAAACATGTTTCGTGCTGCTTTGGATCTCATCTATTCTATTTTAATTAGAATAGTTACTTTTCGTATTAAAATGACCCTGGATTTTAAAGAGCTGTAGATTTTTAGTAATTATAAAAAGATAAAAAGAGGTAACTATGGCCACGGTTTAAAGTGTGCATCAGTGAATTTTTATCTGATAAATAATTCTTAGATTACATATATAAAAGAGAAGTTCATGTGTGATAATTCTACTGTTGATATCCACTTGGAGAAAAAAATGGATATTTCCTTCTTTCAAAATAATAAGCCTGCCTCAAAATAATTTTTTTAAAAGATGTTTCGTGAGATAGGCTAGCCTGAAAGAAGACAGCTGAATTATGGACTACCTTTACAGGCTGAACTGAAATTTGATTCATGATATCTTATTCCACACTGGTGTTTAGAAGATATTTATTCTAAATGTGTAGTAAAACAATTTCATATAAAACAAGTAGTGTGAAAAGTTATTGTAGGTTCTGTTCTGACAAATTTTGGATAAGATATTTTTACCTTCGGATTTAGGAATACTGAAATACTGTTATGTTAAAATTAGTTACGTTAAATGCATAGAAGCAGAAATATGTGCCTAAAGCTACAGCACATGTTTAGCATGGACTGTATCTAAGTTGCAAAGACCTGATTTCTTCTGTTCAGTGCACTCTTCAAAGCGATTTTACCTGTTAGGTTGATTTCATCTCTTGGGTTGGGTATGCTGTGTAAAAATAATTGGAGTGCAAATGATGGGTGGATGACTCAAGCAAATAATGACTTGAAAGACTAAACTTCTGGTCCCAATGACCAACCCAGACTGAATATCCAAATAATGACTTTTCTAAACAGAACAGAAGTTGTGAGTTCCCTGGAAGACTGGATCACTCATAAGCTTTGTCAGAACTCATTATAAACCAAGTTATTTCTATTACTCTTTATATGTATACATGAGCAAAATGTTCCTTCTTAGCAGTAGGAAACTTAACATATGCAAATACTTACTAGGATAACTCTAGGAAGCCATGCTCTTTAAACGTTATATACATATTTTATATGTTTTATACAATCTTATAAAACATTTTATAATGTTATAATTTTGGAATTGGGGAAAATACAAATGTGTTTTTTTTAAAATTAAAAATGATTTGTGTTCATTTTTTAAAAAATAACTTGCAAAAAAAGTAAATTTTGTGTTTTGGATTATGATCATTTGGCCTTTTAAAGATTCAATTGTTGCTTCTTCTTGTCCTTCTTTAAATGATTTAAAAAGGAAATGAAGATTGTCAGCTGAAGTGCAGCATAATGAAAAGGTCAATGTGGGGTTTCAACAACATGTCACATTGTTATATTAGACATAAGCAGAGAGCACATATAAAGCAACCATGCACATAAATATTAATATTATGTAGGGGATTTATTATTGCAATCAAAAAATTCTTGATTTGAAAAGACAGACATGCAAATTATTTCTTGAAATCCTCTTTTCAGATATTCTTGATTTAAGGGCTTTTTTTTTTTTTGCAAGATGGATTAGGCCTATATGTTCATTCTATGAATATGGCAATAGAATAAATCATGGCAAGGTTTAATAATGTAGCTGAGAAGAACATAATTAATCTGATCATCTTTGATCTGAACAGCTTATAATAGTTATGTAAAATAAATAGCAATAGCACTTAGATTTATATACTGCTTCATAGTGCTTTACAGCTCTCTCTAAGCAGTTTACAGTCAGCATAATGTTCCCAACAATCTGGCTCCTCATTTTACCCACCTGGGAAGGATGGAAGGCCGAGTCAACCTTGAGCCTGGTGGGATTTGAACTGCCAACCTGCTGATAGCCGGTGATCAGCAAAAGTAGCCTACAGTACTGCACTCTAACCACTGCACCACAGTGGCTCATAAATGCATAAATAAAATGCAACACAATTCTTACCAGACTATATAAATTACATATCAGATGTACACAATGATGCTTGCTTATGCATGAGGAATTTCCTGTGATAATAATAATATCTAACTGGATCTTAAGAACTAAATAACTGATTTCCTCCCTCAGTTAACTGGTCCTAATAGTCTATAAACAGTGGGCA